GTTGGTGTTCCTGGTGTTGGTGTGCCCGGTCTGGTCCCCGGTGGCATACCAGGTGAGATGGTGTCTGAGGGATGCTTGGGATGTCCCCAGCAGTGCCGGCTGAGGGGAGCTGGTGTGGTCACCACAGCCCCCCTCACGGTCCCCCTCTCCTCCAGGAGTCGGAGTTCCATCAGCCGCCGCTGCTGCCAAAGCAGCCGCCAAAGCAGCCAAGTACGGTAAGCTGGGATCTCTCCAGGGTTATCCCACATGTCCTGTCTCCTGCCATGTTCCCATCCCAGGCTGCCCCCCTTATTGGGGGGCCACAGCATCCCTGTGGGTCAGGACAAGGGATGAGCTCTTAGCAGGGCTGTACATGAGGCTGTGTCAGGGGATGCTCTCCAGAGCTGGTCTGCATGGAGGGTCCTAAGGTTCGCCATCCACACACATTCTTGTGCATAAATCCACCCACCCTTCCTTCTACCCACCCATACAAACAGCCAGCCATCTGTCCATCCATCCACACCTCCATCCATTCATCTGTCTCACCATCCATTCATCCATCTCACCATCCATCTATCCATCCATCCATTCATCCATCCATCCGTCCATCCACTCACTCACCCACCCACCTACCCCAGCCTGCCATGCCTTTTCAGCGGGCACCTTCCACCACCTCTTTTCCTGAGCTGAAGCTCCAATCCTTCCCTCTTTCCTTGCAGGAGTGGGTGGCCTGGCTCCTGGTGTAGGTGGTCTAGCTCCTGGAGTGGGTGGCCTTGCTCCTGGCATAGGTGGTCTGGCTCCTGGCGTGGGTGGCCTGGCCCCCGGCATTGGAGGTGTCCCAGGTGAGGAGGAGAAAGGCGGGTGATGGTGGCAGCCTGGGACAGGCATGAGGGGGACCTCAGTGGTCTCCACCAACTCATGGCCATCCCATGGGGGATGCAGACAAGGCGGGAGGGATGGGCTCTGCCCAGCAGTGCTGGAGAGGACCCCCCTAGGGATACTGACCCCCCCTCTTGCTGTCTCCGCTCAGGGGTCGGAGCTCCGGCTGCAGCAGCAAAAGCAGCAGCGAAGGCAGCCAAATTCGGTGAGTCGGTTGGAGAAGCCCATCGCTCGTTGCTCAGCCCACAGCAGGCAGCCCTGCCCGACCAGTGGACATCTAGAGTGTCCCCAGTAGCCCTGGCCTGGCACAGACTGGTCCAGGGGGAGCTGGGGGCTTCGGGGGTGGGTGCATCATCCCACAGGTGTTTGGGGATCACACGGGAATCACCCCCACGCTGCTTCACCCCCTCTCTCCACAGGTGCTGGGGTTGGAGGGGTACCAGGCGCGGTGCCCGGCGTCGCCGGAGTGCCAGGAGTGACACCCGGCGTCGGCGTCGTGCCTGGGGTGGTGCCGGGTGTGGGGGTACCCGGTACCGGCATCCTCCCTGGGGCAGGTATGTGCTCCGTCACACCCTATTGGGGACCGGTTTGGGGAGAGCAGTGGCCGGAGATGCTTAAAGCCACCGAGCCACGTGGAGGGGTGGCAGAGGGGGATGTAGGCAGGATGGGGGACAGTGCCACATGGGAGGGGTGCAGGGGTGACAGTCTTAACCGCAGTGTCCTCATTTGCTTTGCAGGCATCCCCCAAGTAGGGGTGCAACCTGGTGCTAAACCTCCCAAATTCGGTACGTATCTCTGCCACCCTGTCCCAAGTCCACCTTGGACCATCACTTGGCAGCCTCTTTGTGTGGCCATTGGGGTGCTGGCCTTGCTTTTTGTCCCCTGCATCCCACCCCCGGTGCCTCAGCAGAGGGTGGCCCAGGCATGGGAGGTGGTGGTGCTGTCACCCACGGGTGCAAAGTGCCACTTGTGCCCCCTCTCCTGGACTTGCTGGGGACATTTTTCTCTTGCTCTGCTTTGCCTGCAGCGGTGTGTCATGCAGGGGGTGAGCCCCCGCTGGGTCTTTTCGCCCTGGGTGCTGTGAGATGGGTGCTGGGGACACCCAGGATGGGTGTCAGGGCTACCCCAGTGGGTCAAGCACCGGCTGGGGGTGCCTGAGCTGTGGGTGCTGGGCTGTGGGTGGCCAGGGGCTAATGGTGTCTCTCTGGCAGGCGTTCCCGGCGCTGGAGTCCCAGGGGCCGGTGTCATCCCAGGTAGGTGCTGGCAGGAGCTGAGCCCAGGCAGTGGGGATGTGCGGGCAGAGGGATGCAGGCAGAGGGATGCTCCCCAAGAGGGATGCGGACAGGGGGATGCAGGCAGAGGGATGCTCCCCAAGAAGGATGCTCCCCCAGTGGGATGTGGGCAGAGGGATGCTCCCCCAGAGGGACCCTCCCCCAGGGCATGGGGGAGTGGGGCTGCCCAAGGAAGGATGGGCACATGTGGGGCTGGGCGAGGAGTGGAGGGCGAGGCTGCCCCGCTGCCTGTCCTCACTGGTGCTCACCCGGGATCCCCATCACAGGTGGCCTTGGAGTCGGCGGCCTTGGAGTTGGTGGGCTCGGTGCTGGTGAGTGACGCTGGCCCCTGGCATCGGGGGTCCCCAGGGCTGGGGCGCGGGGAGTGGAACGGCAGCAGCATGCTGGCAGGGTGCAGCAAAGGGAAGGGGATGTATGGGATGAAGGGGACGCTGGGGCGTTTTTGTCCCCTCCTGGTCCCACGGCATGGTCCCAGCCCACACTGTCACTGTGCCCTGTGCCCCATCCTGTGTCTGCCTGCTGCCCTGCTCCCGGGGCGTGATCAGAAAGGAATGCCATCACCAAGCAGGTACCGAGGGCCATGGCACCACCGTTGCCCGTGCCATGGGGACAGGGGATGGTACTGTACCATGTCCCCAACACGCGGAGATGCAGGTCCCTGGCTGGGGACCCTCTGAGCTCATAGCAGGGTCTGGCTGCAGCCCCGGGGGCAGCGAGCCCCGGCGGGGGCTGCACTGACGCCCCTCTCTGACACAGGGGTCTTGTATCCAGGAGCTGCTGGGAAACCTCCCAAGCCAGGTAAGGAACAAGGGCTGCTCTGGCTGAGGGGACTGCAGGGGTGACCCCCATCCCTGTCCCCAGGCTCCCCACCCTCACCAGGGCTCTCCCATCCCGCAGGTTTTGGTGTTGGGGGGCTGCAGCCAGGTGAGTGCCGCCGCTTGGGGCTGGGGGGGGAGCGGGT